ACCATGAAATTGATGTTAAAACTATAAATTAATGATGCCAAAATGATCCATGAACCTTGGAGAACATCTCTATATAGTTTCGTTGAAATTCGGTAACTAAAAACGGTATTTTCGAAATTGGACCCGAACGAAGAAGAAGATGAACAGTAACCAAAACCAGACTCTCTGGATCGATCCAATGGCCTGGATCGATCCTCAGGGACTATTTTCTCTACATATGGATCGATCCAGAGGGCTGGATCGATCCCCCGAAGTTCTGATCCGAAAATTTGTCCGAAATTGCTATTTTTGAGCCCTAAAATCCTATTTTTGATACCAATGGATTATGACCATTATAAAAATGATTTACCATAATAAAAATGATGTTTTTAACAACTAAAAATGTTATGTGTTGCATGATGGTAAGTTCGGGTGTTAACACTCGAAGCTAGGCCGCTATTTATTATCAATTGTTGTGTTAATTGATGATTATGATAAATGAATATTATGGATGATTATGGGTATTGAACCTACTGATTAAAATAAGTATTTATGATTGAATCATGAATAAAATGAATACATTTATAATTATGAAATGATTTTTAGTATTAAGGGTATCTAGAAGAACTCTAAGGTATACACATTTAAAAAATTGTTGTTAAGGCTATCCAGAAAACCTCTAGAATAGATCTCATATTAGTATGGATTTGTGAAACATGAATATTCGATGAATTAGATAAAAATGTATAAACGGGATTCGTAGACCAAGCTAGAGGATTACTCGTTTGGAAATGCCCGATCCAATGTTGATCAATCACTATATTGTTGCTGCCTTAACTGACTACAGTTAAGTGTCCGAAATCATTTGCCTTAAACTAATGATAGTTTAAGTTTCTGATTGCCTTAACTGACTACAGTTAAGTGTCCAAAATCAATTGCCTTAAACTTATGATAGTTTAAGTGTCTGATCACTAATTTCCTTAAAAGAATCTGGTTATGGAAGTTATGATTTGGCCTTAGACTAAGAATAGCTAAGAGCATTATTATGATTTGGCCTTAGACTAAGAATAGCTAAGAGCATTATTATGATTTGGCCTTAGACTAAGAATAGTTAAGAGCATTATTATGATCTGGCCTTAGACTAAGAATAGCTAAGAGCGTTGTTATGATCTGGCCTTAGATTAAGAATAATTTAAGAGCAC